CGGGCACAAACTCCCCTGGGGCAGGGCACCAGCTGTCCCCTCACCCTCAGGCTGCTGTCCCCAGGGGGCCGTGGGGTGGCTGTGGGCCCCATCCTGAGTGACAGCGCCTCTGACATATTCTGCGGCAACGAGAACAGCCCCAATTTCCTCTTCCGCAACTTGGGGGATGGGACGTACCAGGATATGGCAGCTACTGTGGGTGAGTAAGGGGAGCTATGGGGAGGACCCAGGCATTGGGGACCTCAGGGCAGGGCTGGTTTTGCCTGTCCCTGCCTGCATGGGCTGGGTGGGTGGAGGTACAGCCCTGGGTACCACTGGGGTGGTTGAGGTGCACCAGGGCATCCGTTGGTGCAGGGATGCAGCACTGCGTGGGGAGGACCCATCTGGGGACCGTGCAGTGCATCCCAGGGAGATGGAGGCAGGGAAGGGGTCCTGTTTCCCCCCCCATCCCCTTGTGGCTCCCCAGGGCTGGATGACCCCTACCAGCACGGACGTGGTGTGGCACTGGCTGACTTCAACCGTGATGGCCGGGTGGACATTGTCTACGGCAACTGGAACGGGCCACACCGCCTCTACCTGCAGAGCGGGGCCCCTGGGCACGTCCGATTCCGGGTGAGGCCTGGGATTGGGACCCTCATGCTGCTAGCTTTGCCTCTGAGCCTCCTTGGCCAGGGGTCCGGCTTCACCATGATTTGGCTTTGAGCCCCTCTTACCAGTGAGGAGGGGACCCGAAGCACCAAAGCAGGACCCAGTGTCCCACTCCCCGTGCCTGTTGTCACCCCGTGCCCATCCCTTGCGCAGGACATTGCCACCCCCAAGTTCTCCATGCCATCCCCTGTCCGCACTGTCATCGCAGCTGACTTTGACAATGACCAGGAGCTGGAGGTTTTCTTCAACAACATCGCTTACCGTGGCTCCTCTGCCAACCGCCTCTTCCGGTAGGAGCCTGGCGGGGACCGGGGGACTGGGGCAGCCTGCACCCCATTGTGGGGGCCCAAGCAGCCCTTGCAGTGCAGCCAGGCTCACAGGTCTCCTCTCCAGCTGTGCCGCTGCTTGGGCTCGCTGATAAAAGGCATCGTGACTGAGCCCTTCCCGATGTCATTACCAGTTGCTGCGATCGTGCCTGCAGCAGCCCCTGGGGTCCCCAGCACCGCTGATTATCAGCAGTGTGGAAGCTTGTTCATGGCTCCTGTTAATTGTGGGGGGTCAATTCCTTATTACTGGTGTGTGAGATGGTGGGAGCTGGTTGTCAACCTGTTGCCAGCACCTGTGGGTGGGTGGAGGGCAGTGGTATGGTGGGGTAGGGGGGTCTCTGGTCCCAGAGGGATGCAGCAGTGTTTGGAGATGGTGTTGCTGCTCCACAGTTCAGACCCACAAAAGCCAGACTCTCGTGACATCCCTGTGACCCCTTCATGGAGCAGAGATGTGAGATGGTAACAGGCAGGGGCAGGTCCTGTTCCCCCATCCACCCTGCATGGCCACTGGGGCTGTCACCTCTCTACCATGCTGCTGTGGGAGGGGACAGGCACTTCCCGGGAAGGTGTTGGGGACCGCAGGGGCTGGCACTAATGCCCTGTCTGTGCTCGGCAGGCTCATCCGCAGGGAACACTCAGACCCCATTGTGGAAGAGCTGAATCCGGGGGACGCGCTGGAGCCTGAGGGACGAGGCACAGGTGGGGCCCATGCCAGGGGTGTGCCACAGCACCGCTTGGCACCCTTTATGCCTGGGGATGCTGTGTGCTTGGCTGAGTCACCTGCCTGCTCCCCACCAGCATCCTGGAGCCCACATCACCCAGGAGCGGCTCCATGCTTTCTTGTTTTACTTATAACCTGTTAATGGTGCTGTCTCCAGTTGTTCCCCAGGTCTCTGCTGCTTCCTGGGTGCCCACTGTTCCAAGCCAACCGCTGCATTTGGGAGGGGGCCAGGCAGCCTCCTGTGTCCCACA